AAAAAAAAGTACTTAGTGGAAAGATGGTTGTTGGAGATTTGGATTTTCATGACTGTGCTACTCGTGTCCTTTACAGTTTCTTGTCTGATTTCCAGTGGAAGTTTATATGAACTGCTTCCGGAAAATTTCAAATGTTAGGAAATAATTAAAAAAAAAATTATTCAAATGTTAGCAGTTTCATGATTAAGATATTGTAGAGATGAAAAACTCTCCAAAATGCACACCGAGCAGGTCTTATTTTATGCTCTAGATAATTAACATTATATTATTTTGCGCTCTAATATTTATCCAATAAATTTGAATTTAATAGTTATGTCATGTTGTGACGATCATTTAAGTCTTTATTTGCATTAGAATTGATAATTGTCAAACTATCCAAAAATCGAGTTCAAACTTGATATGATGATAATCTTCCACTATGATCATAATCTATTCAAATCTAAGTCTAACTTGAAGTAATAATTATCTCATACTAAGATAACTAGATAATTTCACTATGACGAATTAATAATTATTTCACACAAGTATAATTAATTAATTCTTGATTAAAATGACGGTCATATACTTCAATAGATTATAATATTTTTGGAAAGCTAATTAATTACATTTGAATTAATATTTATCACATACTGAAGTAACTAATAATTAATTAATTACACTTGCAAAATACCTGCAGTAGGTGCCAACTGCAGCCCCAGAAGGGACTGTTGGAACATTTCAATAATTAATTACGATTCAATTGTTTAAATTTGAATGTTATTGTTAGTTAATTAGAGTTTCAAAATTTTAATTTAGCAAAAAGAAGCATTTTTTTTAATTTGAGATATTTTTACTCATTTTAATATTTTCACCCTAATGCTTAATTTTTGAAAACTAAGTGTGGCTCTATAATTTATAAAACCTCGCAAAAGGCCCCATTAGTTTGATTTTTAATAACCATTCTGACTACCAAGAGAAATCCTATTAGAGACTTTTTTTTTTAATCTAAGGTCCACTTCCAGGCCCAATTTCTTTCAACTTTTCATTTTTTTCAGTAGAAAATATGCCAATATAAAAAGCTTAAGAAAGTATATAGGCCAATTTTTAGTTATAGAAATTAATAGGTCATAACTTGTCAAGTTATGGTTAATAATCAGATAAGTTATGGACAAACTTGTCAAGTTATGGTTTATAGCCAGATAAGTTATGGACAAAAATCGTGAATAACTTGTCAAGTTATGGTTCATAACCAGACAAGTTATGGACGAAAACAGTAATTTGACCTATTTATTAACTTATGTAAACTATTGGCCTATTAATTTTAATTCATCTCAAATCTTGGCATATTTCCCTCTTTCTCCATTTTTTTTTTCATATTTAAGTAGAGTTTCTCTTAGGCCTGCAAAATTTAAGTAGAAAAACTGAAATATGATAAAATTTTGGCATATTACGAAAATAATAAAATTTAATATCATAATGATAATTACTATGTCATTTTTGTTATTTTTATAATAGTTAAATTTCAACTCAAGGTTTACCATGTAGCATAATTAGCCGGTCCCGTTTCTAATAACATGTTGTAATCTTTTTATCCTTTAAAAGTAGTATGTTTCAAACTCCTCACAAAAATAGTATGATTGAATAGCAGTACCACAAAAGTTGTATTTATCAAATTTATCCAGTATAATTTTCTATTTCTCTTAGTTTGAAGCCCAAAAATCAAAATCCCAAAATCCTTTCTCTTCCTTTCTTTTCCATTTAATTTACTCATTTCAGAAATATAGGCTAGGTTTAGAATTAATCCTGTTTTTATTTTTCACGTTTTTTGAGAAAGAAAAAATGAAAACGTTTTTAAAAATGGTATTTGACGCAATAAAAACAAAAAACGGAAATGAACATGATTTTTTAGTTTAGTGTAAAAAAAAAGAAAAAGAAATGAAAAACAACTTTTAGTCATTTTTCATTTTTTATTTTCGTTTTCTCCTCTCTCGAGCAGAGAGAGAAAGAGAGACATTAATGGATTTTTTTACACTGAAAATAATCACTTAATAAAACTACCAAATGCATTTTCAAAAATAATTTATGTCTAAGATTAAAAATGTTTTTATTTTCATTTTCATTTTCATTTTCAGACCCAAATGTATAGCACATGTCGCCACAGCTGCCCACTTATTGACGTCACTTCTTCCAACCTACAACAACACGAGTTGCATATAATGAGATACAAAGCTCGATAAGTGGATATAATTCCTATATGATATATATTTTTTTAAGAGAAATATACATTTTAAATTAAGGTATCACAAACACTAATATTGACTCATATGGCCTTAAACTATAGGAAAACCACAACCTTGAACCGACGCGTCAATTAATGATTAAAGATTGTATCTATTAATAAAAGAAAATGATAACTTAAATGTTATATTAGTTAGTACATAATGGCTAGTATTTAAGTTGGTGTCCCTAACATTATTCATAATGAAATACATCTGAAAAATAAGATTTATATAGACTTGCAAAACAAATCAAAAACTATTCTACAAGATAAAAGACAAATGATAAGAATAAGTAATGATATTTAACAGTAAAGGATCCTCCTTGCAAGGGGACAAGAAAGGAGGCCATGGTGGATCTGACGGTGGATGGAGAGGCAGTGATCGGCATAATGGTGGCGATGGAAATTAAAGCTGGTGGTACAATTGCAGAGATACTAATCACTAATTGGCTAGAAATTGCAATTGCGATATTCGCAATCGCTGGACTTTGAATGTTATGAGTACAAATGTAATCACTGAACTTTGGACTTTGAATGATATTGCAATTGCGAATATATATATATATATATATATATATATGTATATATTTATATGAAAGCTCAGAAGAAGCGGTAGCTTTCATACGCATCATCGTTTCTTTCTCCTCGTTCTTTTTCAAGTTGTTGTCGTGTATTGCGGGTGATTGTCCTTTAGTTGGCGTTCACTTATTCGGTCGCTTTCCAAATTAGTTGTTCCATTTCACATTGCCTACTTCCCTTTGATTGTCGTTTTTCCAATTTATTGTTCTCTTTTTTATTGATTGTTTCAGAGGTAACCAAAAAAAAATTTTCAAGAGCTCAGAAGCGCCCATTTCTCGTCCGTTGGATCAGGTGATAGTGATGGACCCCACCATCACAAAGGCGCAAGAGTCATCATGGCTCTCTTTGCACCAGCCGGGAATCGAACCCGGGTCTGTACCGTGGCAGGGTACTATTCTACCACTAGACCATACGTACTACAAATTTTATGAGTACTTTGAATAAGACTTCTTGGACCGAAGATTTTGATCCGGACCATGCGAGGAGATACGGAGGGTTGATGGTGAGAAGGAAAAAAAAAAAGAAAAAAAACCAAAACAAAAGAAAAAAAAATAGGAAAAGGAAAAAGATTGATTGAATTAGAGATGGTATGTTGAGAGGAATATGTTAGATTTGGAATAGGAACTACCACCACCCACCACCTCCTTAATGGAATAGTTCACCTATGATTTTCTGGTCTCTTTCTGAAATATATTTTTGTTAATTTATATTTTTGTTAATTTTTTGCTAGTTTGTTAGTATGATTTAATTTGGTAATCTAGTGTTTTTTTTGCCATTTTTTTAATTCAGCGAGTTAATCTAGTGGAATACGGGTAGTAATCTAATAGAATACTGACGGTCACGGTTGATTATGGTGACATAATCTGATAGATTACTGACGAGAATTTAATAGATAACTCCGTCGTCTGGGGTTGGAGCAAGATTTCCATACATATAACAAAATTTTACCAGTCATGTTGAAATTTAGTAAAAAAATTTAGAATATTTTATAAATAGTAAAAACTAATATCATTCAAATTAATACTCATGTAGTTTTGTAGTATAAACTAACTTAAATATCATCATTGACAATTATTATATAATTTTTACTATTTCTATAAACTTTTCAATAAATATATATATATATATAAATATATATATATTTCTAGTTCCTATAAATTTTCCATGTAGTATAATTTTAAGTTTTGACAAAAAAAAATATTGATCTTCAAAATATACATATATATGTTATATGAACGAATTACGTTTCGTGGCGTGATAAAAATCAAATCTTATAAAATGTCTTTTACCAACTATTCAATTTATTAAAACATCTTAAACACTCATTAATAAGTAAATAGTGAAATAGTGGAGTAATCATTAAAATATATATTTGTTGATATTTACCCTGTCCTCTAAACGGGTAGAATTGGAGGTGCCAAAATTCTGCCCAAAAGGAATGCTTAAGGGGGTCATACTCATTAGTCATTCCTGTGTTTTATAATCTTATTTTAACGACAATTGTTCTAATATTATTGTCGTTATCTTCTTTTAATTATTGTTATCCTTTTAATTATAAGTAATCATGTCTAACAACTACGAAATATACAATACAGACAATGAAAAAGACTATCACAACATGGCCATCCAAGTTGACTCTCTCTCTCTCTCTCTCTCTCTCTCCCTCCCTCCTCCTC